TCGTTCTGTTTTAGAGAAGGGCTTTGGCATCACCGCCATAGTGTAAAGGAGGCTCTTCATTCTGAAGTCTCTAGCAGGTGGGTGATGGGTGTCCAGGCACCAAGCTGGCGCCCACCAGGTGGGCGGTGTGGACTGGGTGGTCTTGTGCCTGGGCATGGTGAATCTTGTTTTGTTTTGTTTTGGTGTTGGCATGGTGACTCTTACCAAGGCCGTGTGATTTTTCTCTTTAACATGTGAGGGTAGTATTAGAGTGCTGTGTTAATAGATTGTTTTGTTTTGTTTTGAACTCCCTTTGCATTGTTGCAGTGTATTATTATTTTTATATCATGCCTAGTTTCTTTACCAATTTTCATAATACTCTTTGCTTCTGTGTTTATTACACAAAGCTGAGTCTGGTTTCTTCCTTTCTGATACTTCCCTATCTCATCAAACGAGGATGTTCTGATGCTGGTGCTGTGCGGCCTTTCCCACATGCGGCCCCAATGGTTTCCGTACAGCTCCCTCACACAGCCACCTCATGATGAGGCTGGATGCGCCTCATAATAATATAATGTGGAGCAGACGGGCCAACGTTCCGCAGCACTCAGCTGGCCAGCGCTTGCCTCTGCCATGACAGCGGTTCCCCTGTCGTGGGCCTGTTAGAGTCGCCTCCACCCTGGAACCAGCACCTGGCGCTGTGCAGGGCTCTGTTAGCCTCTCCGTGTCTGCAGTAGTGTGTCTCCTTAGGAGTGTGTGCTCCCTTTGACTATTTTGTGTTCAGTGTCGTTCATCTCCACTCTTTACCCTTTTCCTCATGAATTAAGTCAGATACAGAATTCGCTTATTTTCAGATTGCTTTTTACTAATCAAAAGAATTAAAGCCATGTATTCCTCTGAGAATACCTTCAACTGTGCCTAGTTTTTTTTTAACTTGTCTTTAGAGTTTTATGGAGGCATAATTTACCTGCCCTGAAATTCACTCACTGTGAGTGGAAAATTCACTTGTGTTGAGCCACGCAGTATCACCAGCTCTAGTCCCGCCACATTTCCGCAGCTCAAAAGGTCTCTCTTGCTCACCTGCAGTTGTCCCCTGCTCCATCCCCAGCTGCAGGCAGCTGCTGGTCCACTTTCTGTCTCCAGATTTGAAACGGTACAGTACGAGGTCTTTTTTTTAGTGATCATTTCTGTTCACCAATTTTCAAAGTAATAACTCAGCATCCCCCCATGATAAGAGTTTTGTTTTGTTTTGACACATAATAGCTATAATATTTATGGGGTACAGTGTGATAATTGGTAAAGACAAATTAGTAAAGCCCAATAATTTGTACAATTACTCTGAATTAATATTTACAATAAAAATTAAAAATAAAATCAAGGTAGTTAGCATTTGTGTCTCCTACAACATTTACAATTTCTTTGTGTTCAGGAATCTTCAAACTCTTCTAGCTATTTTGAAATATATAGTTAATAAGTTGCTGTAAGTGCGTCACCCTCTCACCCAACCGGTCCTCTTGTCTAACTGTATCTTGGCACCTGTTACCCAGCCTCTCTGCGTCCCCTGCTGCCTCCTCTTCTCAGCCCCTTCTGACCTCCTGTGAGACTGGGTCTCTGAGTTTCCACATATTGGTGAAAACTTACAGCATTTGCCTTCCTGTGTTTGGTTTATTTCATTTAACATCCTCTAGTTCTATCCATGCTGCCCCGAAAAGCGGGATTTCGTTCTCGGTGTGGCTTGGTGATGCTCCTTTGTGTGTGTATCCTGTATCCGCTCATTTTCCAGGGTGTCGCAGTTGACTCCCTATCTTTGCTTTTTTCTTTTTTTTTTTTTTTTTTTTTTTGTATCTTTACTGGTATCAGGGATCGAACTCATGACCACAGGCTTGCAAGACAGGTGCTTATGCCACTGAGCTAAATCCCCAGCCCCCCATCTTTGCTTTTTAGCACGGGAGTGCAGATATTTCTTCAACATGCTGATTTCATTTCCTCTGGCTATCTACCCAGAAGCGGGACTGCTGGATCTTATGGTAGTTCTGCCTTTACTTTATTGGGGTACACACGTATTGTCTTCCATAATGGCTCTACCATGTATCCCTGCTGATTAGTGGTGGTTGCAATTTTCCATTTACTCACCAGTCATTTGTGTGTTTCACTTACGGAGCGTTTGTTCAGATTGTTTGTCCCATTTAAAAATCAGACCACTAAGGGAATTTTTTCCTCTGGAGTGTCTTATGTAGTCTGTGTATTAGTTCCTTTGTCAGAGGAATAGTTTGCAAACACCTTCCTCCATTCTATAAGTTGTTTCTTTTGCTGTGCAGAAACTTCTTAGTTTGATATAAACTCATTTGTCTGTTTTTGCTCTTATTGCCTTTGCTTGTGGGGTCTTTGCCAAAAATCCTTGCCCATACTAATGTTTCTTCTATCAGTTTCATGGTTTCAGTCTTACATTTAAGTGTATGGTCCATCATGAGTTGATTTTTATAGACGGTGAGAGACAGGGATCTGGTTTCATCCTTCTGCATGTGGATATCCCGTTTTCTCAGAACCTTTTCTGCACAGATTGTTATTTCCCTGGGGTATGACTTTGACATGTTTGTTGCTCTGATGTCTCTATACAGATATAGATATATAGATATAATTCTTTTGGTACCTAGAATTGAACTCGACCTTGCGCTTGCCAGGTGGGCACCATGCCACTGAGCTGTATCCCTGGTCCTCTGATCTATATTGTTCCCTTTCTCCTACCAGTTTCGAGTTTGGTTAGTTCTTGCTTTCCTAATCCCTCTAGTTACATCATTGTTTACTTGAAATCTTTCTCTTTTTTCTGTTGTTTGTGGTAATTTTTATTTGTTTCTGTGTATGTGTGAAGGCATTTATTGTAAAAACTCTCCTCGGTGCTACTTTTGCTGTAGCCCACAGGTTTTGGCATGCTGTGTTTCCGTTTTCATTTTCCCAGTACATTTTAATTGTTGTTGGTGATGATGGTGACTGACCAGTCATGTCAGATAATGTTACTTGGTTTCCTTGTGTTCATGTAGTTTCTGGAATTCCTCTTGCTGATTCCTGGTTTATTCCAGTGTGAGCAGAGAGAGTAGATGGTATGATACTGAGTGGTCCTGATTTATAAAGTGTGGGTTTGTCCTCACATGCTGCCTATCCCAGAGAATGTTGTATGCACTGAAGACAGAAATGTGGGTTCTACCACTGCCAGGGAAAGGCTTCTGTGAAGATCTTTAGGTCTGTGTGACCTGCAGCACAGTTCAAGTCTTTTATATTTTTACCGGTACCAGGGATCGAACTCACGATCTGATGTTTTATTGTTGGTTTGTATGTAGTATAACCTGTCTATGGGCAGAAGTGGGGTGTCGAAGCCCTTGTGTATTACTGTGTTAGAATCTGTCTGTCTCCCTTTAGACCTCATATTTTCTTATAGATTTCAATGTCTTGCTGTTGAGAGCATATGTATGTAAAATTGTTACTTCTTCTTACTGAATTGATTCCATCATTACTGAATGACTTGTTTCTCCCTTTTTTTTTTTTTACAGGTTTTGACTTAATATCTGTTTATCTGATACACGCAGAGCTACTCTTACTCAATTTGGTTTCCATTTGCACAGAGTATCTTCCCATCCCTTCACTTTCGGTCTGTGTATGTGTCTTTACCAGTGAAGTGAGTTTCTTGTGAAGCCTTTTTAAAAAAATCCATCCAGGTGGGTGTGGCGGTACACTCCTGTAATCCCATCACTCGGGAGGCTGAGGCAGGAGGATCGCCCTGAGTTTAAGGCCAGACTGGGCTACATAGTGAGTTCAAGGCCAGCCTGAATTACATAGTGAGACCTGTCTCAAAAAGTCTATTCAACTGTAGAGTTAATAGGTAAGAATATACCCCTGTCATTCTGTTGACTATTTTCATAGATCATTTGTTCCTTTCTTCTCATTGTTGACCTTTGTGGTTTCATGATTTTCTGTATTGATACCCAGTCAGAGGCATTTGGGTGCTTTTTTTTTTTTTTTTTTTTTTTTTTTTGGTGTAATGAATAATGCTGTGAATGTCCACAAATAAGTCTTAATGGGAACATACATTTTAATTTCTCTTGGGTATATACCTAAGAATGGAAGTTCTATTTGTGTGTCTTTTCAAGAAATTTCCAAACTGGAGCTGGGGATTTAGCTCGGCGGCATAAGTGCCTGCCTTACAAGCACATACTTGTGAGTTCAATCCCTGGTACCGATTAAAAAAAAAGAAAAGAAAAGAAATTTCCAAACTGTTTCCCAAAGAGGTTACACTGTTTTACATTGCCATGTGTGAGGTCCCAGTGTGTCTGCATTCTTTTTTTTTGTCTTTTTCATTTTTATCGGTACCAGGGATCGAACTCATGACCGCCTGCTTGCAAGGCAGGTGCTTATGCCGCTGAGCTAAATCCCCAGCCCCCTGTGTCTGCATTCTTGCCAGTACTTATTATTGTCTATCTTTTTTGTGGGTGTGCAGTGGCGTCTCACTGTGGTTTTAATTTGTATTTCTGGGGCTGGGGATTTAGCTCAGCGGCATAAGCGCCTGCCTTCCAAGAGTGCAGTTGTGAGTTCAATTCCCAGTACCAATTTAAAAAAAAAAAATTGTATTTCCCTAATGATTTGATATATTAAGCATCTTTTCAAGAGCCTATTGGCAATTTGCATATCATCTTTAATGAAATATCCATTCAAATCTTTTTAAGTTGTTTTCTTATTATTAAATTATAACAGTTCTTTATACATATAAATTTATGATTGAATTGTAACATACACACACACACACACTTATATTTAGACCCAACACTGACTTCTTACATCAGCTGACTTGGTTGTGCTGCCCAGAACCCCGCTAGTCCCTGCAGCTCCTGGATTCCTTCTGGCTGGAGCACAGCAGAGGTGGTGCTGGGACCTCAGGAGACAGTGCCCTCAGCGAGGGTCACAGGGCACTGGTTGCTACTGGACTGGACTGTCGAGGTCGCTCCCGGCCGGCAGGAAAGACACACGACAAAGTCTGGCGGTGTGCAATCTTGCCTTTATTTATCTCCGCGTGGGCCCCGCGAGGCCTCCTCTCTGCCACCAGCCCTTTCTCGCCGGTGGACTTTCTCTATCTCTCTCTGTGGTTTTTCTCTGTGCTTCTCCCTCGTGGCGGGAGAGGCATTTACTTTTATAGGGTAACAGTGGCCAATCAGTTCAAAGCGCGCGATGCGGGCTGATTGGCTAACATCAGCTGTTGCTAGGCAGACTATCTTACAGAACGGGTTGTTTAAGTCGCCAGCGCAATCAGGGGGCAGGAAGCAGGCGCCAACTTGACTCACTCGATGGGAGGGGCAATCTAGCTCAGGCTCCGCTCCCACCCACAGGCCCTACGTCCGCCAAGTAAGGCGACCGGTGTCGGCGGCTCCCAACATCTCCCCCTATTTTATTTACTTTGAATGAATGTATGCATCGCAGCCCGCCCTGGATCGAGTGTAGAGGCTTATGCCCTGTGTTGAGGCCCACCGTAGGCCCTTGGCTTGGACCCTGGTCGGCCGCCCCCGGGTCCGCCAAGGCCTTGAGACCCTCGTCCTTTTTTTAGGGCCAGGAGTGAACTGGACGGAACCTGGATGTACATAGGCATGCACTCATGCCCCTCCGTGTGATCCCCTCGGAGAGGCATCTAGATCTGGGCAGATTCTAGTAATCCAGCGGCTTTTGTGCGCCATGGGGTAGGGCCTGGCTTAGGTCGAGTCGTGTTGGGGAGGCACGCTCTTACCCGTCATTGACTCATCTACCCTGCTGTGTAGTGTCAATAGGGAAGGAGTGCGGAAGACCCGCCACACCTAGACCCAGTCGTAGGCCAGTCGAGCGAGCCATGTGTAGGCCTGGGGGTCATTGTGCCCATCACGGGCTGCTGCCAGGGCCGCATGGGCAACCAGGCGTACTTGATGCCGGGCCGCCGCAAGGCGCCCATTAATAAATGATGTAACCCATCGGAGCAAGAATGGTCCTACAAGTAAGAGCAGAAGCAAGGAGCACAGGGGACCTAACAATGGTAAAACATAGGGGAGCAAGCCATTTCAGGCTCCCCAAAAAGGGATTGTCCTGCAGTTCTTTTAGGGCTCATCTTGTTGTTGGGTCTGCGGTTGGCCTCTGGTTCTCGTCCCGATTCCTGCAGAAAAACACAAACCGCGCCTCGGTTCCAGCTAACCACCGGATCCGGGCCCATCCATTGTCATGCCATAGATAACCGCGCCTTTGGAGGCAGGCCTTGGCTTACTCCCCCTTTTTGTTTTTTATTTTTTATTTTTTTTTATTTTTGGTCTTTTTTGTTTTTTGTTTTTTTTTTTTTTTTTTTTTTTTTTTATCGGTGCCAGGGATCGAACTCGCAATTGCCTGCTTACAAGGCAGGCGCTTATGCCGCTAAGCTAAATCCCCAGCCCCCGTTTTCTCAACCGGCGTTTTTTTTAGCCTGCTCGGCAGAGTAGCCGCCCATGAAAATACCGTCCGCCCCGCAGCGCAACGTCATAGGACGGCGGTCGCGACAGAGTGGAACGGGGCGTCACTTCCTGTGCCGGCTGAGAGAAGGGAGGGTTCCCTGTAGCGGCCTCTCGGCGGGGAGCCGCTTCTGGAGAAGAGCTCCAGGGCGGAGTGGATGGCTCTCTATCTCCTCCCCACCAGAGAGCGCTCGGGGGCCCTTTTTCCTCTCTCTGCTTTTTTCGAGCGGCGCACGCACACAATTTGCGGCGCAACTCGGCATAGGAGTCAAGGCACGCATGTATCATTTCCCACAGGGGGCGAATAGCCGGCGAAATATCCCCTTCCAATTCCGCCAAGGCGAGGTCCCCGCCTAACTTCTCCCATGACGGCAGGTTTAAATGCCCCGTGGGTAAAAACCAGGGAGCCACCCTATCTATCTCTGGTATGAATAGTTTTAGTGTTTTTTGACCTACCCTGAGGTCTCTAGCTTTTAAAAGCTTTTTAAGGGCCTTTACCAAGGGTCGCGCCTCCGCGCTCGGTAAATTATCCATCCTCAACCTCTAAGGGCTGTAACTCACCGCGTGTGACTTAAAGAACCCGTCACCTACGCGTGAGCCTGAGGGGAGTCTAAAAGCCCTGTAGGTGCGCGCCACCCAGAGCCCAGGCTTATCCCCAACTCACCTGTCCGGCAGCACCACGCTGGAGCGTTGCACACCACCGCCGTGTCTCGGGGTTGATCAGTCCCCGTGCGGGTCACCAAATGTCGAGGTCGCTCCCGGCCGGCAGAAAAGACACACGACAAAGTCTGGCGGTGTGCAATCTTGCCTTTATTTATCTCCGCGTGGGCCCCGCGAGGCCTCCTCTCTGCCACCAGCCCTTTCTCGCCGGTGGACTTTCTCTATCTCTCTCTGTGGTTTTTCTCTGTGCTTCTCCCTCGTGGCGGGAGAGGCATTTACTTTTATAGGGTAACAGTGGCCAATCAGTTCAAAGCGCGCGATGCGGGCTGATTGGCTAACATCAGCTGTTGCTAGGCAGACTATCTTACAGAGCGGGTTGTTTAAGTCGCCAGCGCAATCAGGGGGCAAGAAGCAGGCGCCAACTTGACTCACTCGATGGGAGGGGCAATCTAGCTCAGGCTCCGCTCCCACCCACAGGCCCTACGTCCGCCAAGTAAGGCGACCGGTGTCGGCGGCTCCCAACACTGGACTTTACTTTCAAGTGCTTTCCATGAAGAAAGTTGGAACCCAGAGCTGCTTGCATCATGCATTCCTATTGATGCATGCAATTCATCTTTAAAGTTAGTGTCTTCACCTGTTTCATGGGTTTTCATAGTTGTCTGTCTGTCCTGCAGTGAAAATGGTGCCTCCCGGCACCAGTGTGTATGTGTCTGTATATTCACCCTACTGAAACGGCTCCTGACAGACAGCAGCACTGACAGCGTTACAAGCAGGCGGCACAGTCAGTTGGCTTGACGTGTGGCACAGTGAACTGTTGGCATTTTAATTGGGATCCTATTAGATTTTAACATAGCCAAGGGTGGGCATCTTCTGATGTTTGCATTGTCTTTCTTAGGAGTATGTGCGTCTTTGTTTTCCAGGATCCCTGTTTGTATCCTTTAGGAGTGTTTTTCAGTTTCCTGCATGTGGTCTTCACTCATTTCTTATGAAGTGAATCCCTGAATGACCCATTAGTGGTGCTATTTTAATGGGATCTTCCCTGCTGTGTGTTTTCTAAATAATTGTTGTTTCTGTGAAAGCTATTGATTTTTGACTCTCGCTTTCATATCATGTGCTTTTGATAAATTTTCTTATTGTTTCCAGTAACGTTCTTTTGGGCATCTAATTGAGTCATCTGTACATAAAAATGACTCCACAATTTTATGGCATTGGGGATTAAGCCCAAGGGTACTCTACTTCCGCAGCCAGACACACTCAGTCTCGTGATCCTCCTGTCTCGGCCTTCCTCGGAGCTGGAACAGCAGGAGTGCACAGTTTCACCTTTGCTTCTCACTCTTTTGGCTCTCCTGTGTCTCTCCGGAGTCCCCTGGGAAGTGTTACATAGTTGAGGTGAGAGCTCGCACACTGGTCTTGCTCCTGACCTTAGGAACTGAGAGCGTGGATTACTGGTTCTTCTTTGGTGCTGCGGGTGCCTGGATGTCAGCCATTACACACGGTGCTCAGCTGTCATTGTTCACATCTTTGCACCTTCCCTCAAGTCAGGTTCAAGAACAAGAAATGGATCAGAGTGGAAGCTTTCAAGAAATCTTTCTAGATCCGATATGCATGCCTTCCAGGGAAGCAGTGCACATTTTCCTGCGTGGGGACATATCCACCCCAATGCACCCTTCTAGTCCTGGCCATTGAAAAGCTGTAGTCATCTGCCAAGTGGAAAGCAGTGCAGTACTTCATATTTATAGAACAGGTTGCATGTGGTCTTCAGACCTGTTCATTGGAAGATTTTTCTGAATCAGCCCCTTAATTTGGCATTTTTTTGCCCTGGAAGACAGAAATGTTAAGTGAAAAGTCCAGTTTTTTTTAAGTGACTTGTGGAAGGAGTAAATTAATCATGATCGTGTCTCTTAAGACTCTTGGTTTTAGAAACAAAAGAAAGGGAATAGGAGCTGGGGATTTAGCTCAGTGGCATAAGCACCTGCCTTGCAAGCAGGCAGTCGTGAGTTCGATCCCTGGTACCAATAAAAAAAAAACAAAAAAAAAAGGAAGAGGCCAAAGTTATAATGGAACAGTATAGGCCCTAACTATCAGTTAACTGAAGCCCTTGGCACAGGGCAGTTACAAAGTTTTAGGCCTTTTGTGCATTTATTGTTCCAGTTGAATTTTCTTAGACTTGACTTGAATGGTAGTTAAATGTTTTGTGTATCTTTTCTTCCTTTTGTGAAAATGCAGTACTTCACCCTCATTTCAAAGCTGTTTGTTTTTTGGTGCAGTTGAAAATTTGGCCATAAATTTGTTTTTAATCACTTAAAATGAATTTTGTGTATATTTACAGCAAGTTTTGCTCTTGGTTGAAGAATAATGAAATCAGAGTGTGTGAAAGTTGCCAGGGTGCCTGCGCTCCTTCAGTGTGCAGAGAGAGAGCAGGACGGGACCTGCTGCACCGAGTCTTGGCCTCTGTGGCCCAAGCCTTTCTGCTGTCTGCTGTTTTCACCTGTGCCCTCTCCTGATCACCTACCGCCCCTAGGCGTGGTGAGGCCACTGCGTTCATGGCTGCCTTCAGAGGTGCATGGCGCTGTGTCTAGGAGCAGTGGAGCTGGCGCCTGGCTCACGGGCTGGGTCCGCAGCTGGCCCAGGCCTGCCTTACAGGGTGCCTCCCTTCCACATCCTCTGCCATAAACATCCTGTGAGTACCCCGGGGTCAGCCTCAGCCCTCGCTGGGTAGCATCAGGGTAATCTCACATTTCACAAACGTGTTTGGCTTAGGCCTTGAGCACCCTTCACGTGATTTCCCCAGCACCTCAAATGCCTTTTCCTCCGTACATGTACACACGCAAGCAGCCACTCCTGCTACGCAGCTCGCCTCTGCCTGGTCCCTTCAGCTGCAGACCTGGCTCCCCTCTGCGCTGGGCCCTCCCCATATGCCACTGTGTTCTGCTGCCACTGCCACCCAGGTGTCTCTCGAGCTGCTCTGGCTCAGCCTTCCTTGTCTGCTCTTTCAATTTTGGTAATACACTCATGGCATACTTTTCTCCTTCAGCCACTTTACACTGACTGCCCTGTGTACCTGTTGCTTCCAGCTGTGTCCCAGTAGAATCTGCTGCCCTGTGCAGCAGCAGGTCTTCTTCTTCCCTGGCCTCTCCAGGCGGACAGTCATGTCCAGCCTTGCGGGTTGCCTGGGCTGTGTAAAATGAAGAAGAATTTAATGTACTTAAGTAACAAAACTTCCCTTTTTTTAGAAACTGGGGAACCAGCACACAAGGCTTTCACACTGAGGTACATTCCCCAGCTCTTTTTATGTTGAGAGTCTTGCTAAATTGTTAGTTTGCCTGGGCTGGGCTTGAACTTGAGAGCCTCAGCTGCTACACCCTTCTTGAATATTCTCTTTCCTCTATTTGCTATTATGTAACCAAAAAAAAAAAAAAAAGAGCAGACAGCCTGTGGGTCACACTTGCCTACTAGAGTTTGACAATTCCAGGGGTCTCAAGGAAGTGGAGTCCACCAGTACTTCCCTCTTGGGCTGGCTCAGTTTGCTTACATGACATTCTCAAGACCCACCCTTGTCCCAATGTGTGCCACAGTCTTGCTCCTTCATAAATTCCCCCTAAGCCTGTCACAAGAGTGCACTTTTTGTATTCTTCCACCCCTCTTTGGAAGGGGACACTTGGCTACAGAGCGCACAGATACATCATCCACTCAGCACACACGCCACTGCCCAAAGCATCGCAAAGGGCAGGCTGCTCCGGGTGTGCATCCCAGCCTGGCACCTGCCGAGGGGCCAGACACGAACGTCGTGCTTGCTAGAGGAATGAAAAGCCTCCGGGACCTCCACCTGTCGTGTGCCAGCTGTGTCTCCCCACTTGGGTACTTCTTGGAAAATGAGATGTATTACTCAGGTGACCGAGCTGCATAGGGTTGGTGAGGATGTAGGCAGGTGAAACAGAACGGTTGGCACGGAAACTCCTGGATGCTTTGTGTGCGGATGGCCTCCATGCTAGGACCAGACAGGGGTGAGACACTCGCCTTGGTCTGGAAGGTTTCACAGCGCAGCTGCAGCACAGATAAGAGTGAGCCCGGGTCTTAGCCCGGGACCAGGGAAGGTTTCCCTTCGTCTGTTCCCGTGGATCCACTTGACTTTGCTTTTTAATCACTCCCAGGACTTGCTCAAATCAACAGGGCCACCAAGGCCTGTCCCTTTGTCCTTGCTGTTGGCAAGCAGACCCTCCCTGGCAGTCTCTGCACACCGCTGAGTGTTAGGTACCTTTGATCTGCCTAAGGAAAAAGTCTATTTTAAACCACAAGTGAAGCCAGTTTTTTAAGGTTAGATTCTTACTCAACAAAACACATCGCTCAGACCCACATAGTTCTCAGTGTTTTTGAAAACAGGGCTGGCCAGCCCGGGGTCAGCAGACCACGGGTCTAGTGCCATCAGTGTCTAAGTTCAAAACTCCAACTGTCTTGCTCATTGCTGTCACACTTCTTTACCAAAATACAAGCGTATTTTAATTTGCCTGTGAACTTGCTGAGGGAGAAAAAACATTTAGCTCAAATTAGAAATGAATTTTTAAATTTTAATTTAGAAATACTGCCTCAAAATACAATCAGTGGGACGTATTTAGAGGCAGTTTGCTTTCAGTGGAGAACAGCAATAGAGGAAGCAGAGGAGACAGGTGATTCCTTCCGGTCCAAGCCTGCTGTCCTCCCATGTTCCCTGGGAGATGCAGGTGAGCCCATATGTGCTTTCCCGGGGAAGGCAGCACTGTGAGCTGTGGAGGTAGGGACAGGGGACAGACTAGATGGGCATCTGAGGACACTCACTCTGAAGCGGGCACAGGGCAGAGTACGTGTGAGGGCCGTGGGAAGTGCCCCTCTGCAGAGGCTTCCATGACACCTCCCTCTTGGTCACATGCTCCAGGGAAGCAGGTGAAAAGCATGGTTTTAAAAGGGCTTTAAAAACCAGATCAGCTAGGCGTGGTGGTGGTGCGTACCTGTAATCTCACCACATGGGAGGCTGAGGCAGGCAGATCACTGTGAGTTCGAGGCCAGCATCAATTACAAAGCCAGACAGAACAAATACAGCCAGATGGGCTGCTATTGTGCCCTTCCTTCACTCACTTGTTTGCTGCATGTGGATAGAGCACTTCCCAGTGCCAGGCACCACAGGAGCTCTTGTCTGCACTCTTGCTGAGCTGACAAGGAGGGCTTAGCCTGGTGTCGGCCCTTAATTCCTGTCCCGTATCCCCGCCCTGCAGAGGGATCGCTTCAGCATGCTGTTGGAGGGCAGCAGGGCTCCCCCGATGCCATGCGTCACTCCACATGTGGCCTCTGCTGCTCTGCTGGCTGGAGCTCCATTTAGTGGTGTCCTCTCCTGCATGTTCCACAGAGGACACGTGTCCAAGAGTCCAGTGTCACCTCTTTGGGTGAGGAGACAGCCAGCTGGGCCACTCAGCCAGCCTCTTCTCACCCAGCTGCTGACAAAGCCCATCCCAGTGCAGGTTTGTGGTAGCACTAGAAGCCACTGGGTCATCTTTGTAAAGCATTCTTTTCAATAGGACAGAAGGTCTGCTGCAGAGGCCAGCTGAGCCATGATCACCCAAGGCTGGTGGAGACTCCAGGCACAGGTGGGGAATACACCAGGAAAAGTGTAGGCACCTCAGACTGAATCTTTGGGACAGGGCATCAACACCCTAAATTCTCAAGGCCTGATTTCAACTCACTTTTATGTTTTGGCATGCATGACCTCATTTACCCACCACAGTAAATCTTCTGTTTCAGATTTTCTTGGTTCCATGATAGCCCTTTCCCTGTTCTTAGCTTTCACCTAAGAAGCAGTATTTATTAGGAGATTTTTCACACTGTAACTAAGTCAATCTGTATTCCTTTTTTTTTTAAAGTTACTTTTAAATCTCATGAAAGAAATTCAGGATTTTGGAAGTGTTAAAAAATATAGGGAAATTACTAAAAAAACAATCACCTGTAACCGTATCACCCAATAGTGACTATTGTTGGTAGTTTAAGATTGATTCTTTTTCTGATCAACTTGCTAAAAATTCTATATTGACTTTTTTACTTACATTTCCATTTTTATAAAATTTCATGGAAGAGTAATCCCCTTTGACAATTAGGTGTGTTTTAGAACCTGAAATGTTTTAGAACCATAAATAAAATATGATGTTCTCAAAAGAATGAAATAATTAGAAAAATAAAATACTTAGAGAAATAAGCTTACCAAGAAGTTGAAAGGCATGTACACTGGAAACTACAAACTGTTCCTGAGAGAAATTAAGAAAGACACCAGTCTGCATTCATAGCCTGGAAGACCATGTTGTTAGATGTCAGCACCACCCAGGTGATCTGCAGAGTCACTGTGTTCAGAATCCCAGTGATTTTTTTCTAGAAATAGAAAAATCCTAAAATTCATAGGGAGTCCCAAGGAACACACACACACACACACACACACACACACACACGGGGAGAACACAAGTAGAGAACTCATATTTTTTTGGTCTTAAAATTTATAGTAAAGCTGCACTAACCAAGGAAAGTGTGACGTTGGACTTTGACCATGTAGAGCATCATGGAGACACCAGGCTTTCAGACCATAGGCAGGAGTGAGAGCCCTAACAGAAAGGCCTGTGTTCAAGGGCCAGGGATGTAGCTCAATAGCATAGTCTCCTCCCTGGCAAGTGCAAGGTCCTGAGTTTGAGTCCTGGTACAAAAATACATAAGTAAATTCCTGTGTCTATGCAGTAAGACCAGCCTACAGGCAGTACAGGAAACCCAAATAGTTCCATGTAAAAGAATTGAACCTTTACATTATGTATAAAATGAGACTCAAAATCAGATTCTTTTTTTTTTTTTTTTAATCAGTACCAGGGATCGAACTCACGACTGCCTGCTTGCAAGGCAGGCGCTTATGCCGCTGAGCTAAATCCCCAGCCTCCTAGATCAGATTCTTAAACATTAAATTAAAACTGGCTGAGTGTGATGGCACATGCCTGCAATCCCAGAATCCCAGCTCTGTGGGAGGCTGAGACAGGAGGGTCGCTGCTAGTTCAAGGCCAACCTGGGCTGCAGAGTGAGTTGTACTGAACCACACAGCAGATCTTGCCTCAAAATAAGTAAAATAAATAATTGTAGAAGAGATTTAGAAAAATTTTTTAAATTCACAAGGGTGGCATATGGTGTGAAGGCCCTAGGGTTACTACATAGTAACCCCCCAAAAAAGGGTAAACCAAAAAAATCTTAAAATATGGCATGAAAAACTGTGACATCAGATTTGGCAATAATTTCTTGTATGTGACACCAAAAGCCCAAGCAACAAAAATAATAGATAAATTGTACTAAATCAAGATATAAAATTTTGTATCCTAAAAGGGCACAGCCAACAAAAAGTCACAGGATGGAGTACAATTTGCACATCACATGCCTGATAAAAGATTAATATCCAGGCTGTATTTTTTAAAAACTGCCAGAATTCAGCAGTAAAAAAATCTTGATTTAAAAAATGTCTAAGTTACTAAAACACACATTTCTGCAGAGATGATAGACAGCTAATAAGCCCATACAGAGAAGCCAACATTACTAATTAGGGAAATGCAAACCCAAGTTACAATGAAGTAGTTCACACATTTGTTAGGAAGGTTGTTATAAGGAGAAGGAAGCCAGGCCCCAGGTGGTGCATTCCTGTAATCCCAGAACTCAGGAGGCCGAGGCAGGAGGATCCTTACAAGTTAGAGACCAGCCTGGGCTACACAGTGAGCCTAAGGCCAGCCTGAACTGCAAAGCGAGACCCTGCCTCAAAAAGACAAAAAAAGAAAAGAAAAGAAAAAGGAAGTAACAAGTATTGTTGGGGGTGTGCCTTGGAACTCTGTGCACTCTTGGGGAGGTATAAAATGGTAAAACCACTGTGGAAAACAGTGTGACAGTTTTTTTTAAGAATTAAAAATGGAATTACCATATGACCCAGCAATTCCACTAAGGTTACATACTCAAAAGAATTGAAAGCAGGGAATAGACAAAAGATTTGGAAGCGGGGACACGAATGGACTTAATGCCACGGAGCAGGACACCTAAAAATGGTTATAAAGATAAATTTTATGTCATATTTTAGCATAATTTAAATTTCAGGGTTTGGTTTGTGGGGTAAATATGGCACTGGGATTATAGAAATGCACCACTACACCCGGCTTCATTTTGCAGAAATGTGTATTTTATTAATTAGACTTTTTTTTTTGTCTTTTTTTTTTTTTTTTTTTTGTCTTTTTCGTTTTTATCGGTACCAGGGATCGAACTCACGACTGCCTGCTTGCAAGGCAGGCGCTTATGCCACTGAGCTAAATCCCCAGCCCCAAATTAGACATTTTTTAAATCAGTACCATCAAACACAAGAATATTCTACCACTGAGCATGATCCCCAGCCTTTGTACTATAAGAGAGTGTCTCTGCATTGCCCAGACTGGCCTCAAACTTGAGATCCTCCTGTCCCACAGGTGCCTGCATAAAATAAACATTTTTTTTGAAGTGATGTTCATTTGTGACTATTACATTTCCAGAAGTAAAATTGCCACACTCTTTTTTTTTTTTTTTTTTTGTCCTTTTGAGACAGGGTCTCACTCTGCAGTTCTGGCTGGCCTTGAGCTCACTGTGTAGCCCAGGCTGGTCTCCTGCCTCAGCCTCCCGAGTGCTGAGATTACAAGTGTGCATTACCACATCCAGTTTAGACACAGAATCTTGACTCCTACTGCCAGATGACTGTGGAGGACTCCAAGCAATGGCAGTTTTGTTGTCAAAACTCCATCATATCCTCAACCTGAATTGACTTTCACTTAAAAATTATTGCTGATCTGATCAATAAAAAATATTTTTCCATGTGCTTATTGAGCATTTATAGTTCTTTCATGAATCATTTAGACACTGAAAGCTTAATGTTTTTCTAGTCAGTTACACTAATGTTATTGTATTTATAGCATTTAATTTCAAAGGTGGAACATCCCTTAGGAGTTTGGTGTTTTTAAGTGTCCTTCTCTAGCTTAAGAATATTCATTTACCTTTTCTTCTAAAAGCTATGGGGACTTAGGGAGGAGTTATGATTGGCTTCTATTTCTCTGTTTAACACAGTGGCAATTTTATTTTAGTGTGAGGTCAAAAGACTTCACTTGGCTTACACACACACACACAAACACACCCATTAGTAAGAGTTGCCTGTTCCAGGAGAGCCGGCCCACTGTCCACTCTTTCCGCGTTTGCTCTGATTAGGACCCCACTTACAGCCCCCCATATCCGCGTGGAAGTGCGTCCTGGTCAGGCTGTTGCTTCCCAGCCCTCGCTCTGCCTCTTCCGCCCTGGCACTGTCATCTGTTCATGGAGTTATGTGCTTGGCAGCATTATCCTTCCTCATTGGAAGTGTTCTCATTTTTGTTCTTTATTTTCCCAGGCAAAATTTAGAAGATTTTGTCAATACCTAGAAAAATAAGAAGGCTACCTGGATTTTGATAGGAAATACTTTAAACGTAAATTATTTCAGGAAAAAAATAACAGTAAGTTTACAGGATATTTGTTTCCAGTTGAAAAATATACCCTCTGGTTAGTTGTCTTTTCCTTTCTCTTATTCTAATTTTAGCATATGTTTTATCAGTGATCTCCGATCAGTCTTAATAGTTCTCTGAAGAACTACTTTACATGCATAGGGTTTGGGGAGAGCATGGGGGAAATCACTAATAAAGTTGAGATCCTTTGATCTGAGATCATTAGGAAAAATACATCAAAAGTGACTTCACTGTTCCTTTGCCTTCAATCTGTATTTTACATAAAGCCCTAGGAGTCTCTCCTCACTGCTGTATTTCAGCTCATCAGCACAGCCCGAGTGCAGGCACCTCTCCCATCTGGCTGCCCATGAAATATTCAGTGATTGCAGGCAGGTCCTCTGTACAGCACAGACCATGCCAGCCCAAGCAATGTGGCCCTGACGGAGTCTGTTCACCTGCATCACTCCCGCATGGGCAGGTGATGGTGAGTGGAAGTGAGAGCCAGCATTATCCTCAGCATGGCTTGGTGGCCCTGGCTGGGGCCCGGAGTCTGGCCTTTGCTGACAGACAGTAGCCAAGGGTCAGGCAGGCACAGTCTAAATTGGTATCACCGGGGTAATGCACAGGCTCATCTCTTACTTAGGTGGCAGCAGCACCACCTGGACAGGAGGGAGACCCACAGCGCACCTGGGTTGGGAGGACGTGGTCAGGTGCACTCCTGCAGGCTTTGGAGACACTGTGGGCTGCTGGCCTGGAGTCCTGCGCTCCTGGGCGGGACCATCCATGGTAATGGCCATTGACACGGCTGAGTGGGGCTCACCCACTCCCAAGCTGTGTGAGGGCCGGGCCTGCAGGGGCAGTGTCCACGCAGCCAGTCGGTATTTTCACCAGTGGGGCTTGGGGCAGCCGTGGCCTTTGTGGTGTTAGCATACACACCGGACAGGTGGGGCAGAGGTGAGAAACAACAGAAGAGGAGCCACCATTCAGGAAAACGTCAGACGGGGAACCACTTTCAGTTCTGCCGAGAGGCTTTCTTCTCTCTCTCTGGAGCTGGGGCTGGTGTTCCCTTTTGGGGGGAGTCCTCTGTCCACATTTTCCCGTACTCCAGATCTGATGTCCTTCTCCTTGGACTGGCTTTCTGCAGCAACCTTTCTGAAGGCAGGAAACTTAGGTCAGAACGGGAGCTCTCACTGCATCTGTGTGGGGTGTGGGAAGTTGGGCCGAGGCCTGGGCAGGCCAGGTAAACACTGCCGCTCGGCTCCATCTGCAGCCCTTTTGACTTCTGTTTTAGACTGAGACAAACTTTGCCAAGTTGCCTGTGTTATCCTGGAACTTGCTATCCTTCTGCCTCAACCTCCAGTGAACAATAGCTTTTAATAGTAGCCTAATAAAAAAACAGATGAAATATCTCACCTTTAAACAAAGAATCTATCACATTGACACCTGTAAGTTCACAAAAGTATCCACTGATTTTTACTTTATTGCTTTTGCACTGCGAAGGCAGTGTGGTATGTTTTGTAGCACTTTCTAGCTGTTGGATTTAAGGCAGCCTTCATTTTCCACATAATTTATTTAACCTTTCCCCCCCCCCCAGAAGAAAACCTAGGCTGGAGGGGGGAGTGAGGATTCTGAACTCATTAATTGCAGTACTGGTAGTGGGGAAAGTTGAACAACAGTCTAAAGTAATGGATTAGAATTGTGTAATATTTAAATGTCCATTTGCTTTTAAATACACATACACAGAAGCCAGGGCTGCCAGAATGCTCGGCATTGGGCCTAAATGAAACTAAACAGGACTGGAAAGTAGAAGGTGGGCAGGAGGTGGCTATCACTGAATTTGGGGTGCCAGCCCGGGGATTGCTAGAATGCTAAGTTCATGAAGAACGTGTACACACGACTTTTTCCCTGCTTTTTTTTTTTTCCAGCTCTGAGGCATTTGTGTAGTCTCTCAAGGGGCTGTGGCACCCAGCCTTGTCCCCTGAGAGATGGAATCTCTGCCTCAAAGTTACTGAGAAATGAAACCTGCAGAAAACCCGAAAATGCTCGGTTTTCATGCACACTGACAGCCAAACAGAACGCTCTTTCCATTTGCAGTTTTTTTTCAGTGTCATTTTAAGTTGCAGTTTCCGGCCAATCAGCGAGCTCTGTGGCCGCTGACATCACGAACCAGCCAGTTCCCTCCAGCTGCAGAGAGCTTCAGTTTGTCTTTTTTTAAAACTAAAATGGAGGCTGGTTTCTTGCCTTAAGGGGTACACTGCCTTTCCCGCTGGAGTCTAGATGTTGACATGTAATAAGGCTGGCAGCGGGATGGTGGTGGATGCGGCCAACTCCAATGGGCCTTTCCAGCCCGTGGCCCTGCTCCATATCCGAGGTGAGTATTGTGTGTTCCCGGACCGGAGCCTTCCGTGGGTAGTTAATAAATGGCTATTGTGCTTCAGCTAGGAAAAGCAGGAAGTCCCTTCCGCACAGCTCACTCCGCTCCGCCGCAGACGAAACCAGAGTAGGTGGGGAGTGTCACTGCTGCTCGGCATTTTCGGCATTTTACGAACTACTTACAGAATTTGAGGCTTGAAAGAGGCCTTGCATGCATAGTTCAGAGCTGGTTTTTCTGCTTTCTGCCTGCTCTCCCATCCCCCTCCTGGAGCTGTGCTGATGTCAAAGGATGTGAAGTCACTGCCCAGAGAAGGTGTTGGTGGGGTAGGAAGGAAGGAGAGGCGGGCCAGCAGAGCTAGCCAAGCTGTCCACACACAGAGTTTCTGTCACATCGGGTCGCTTAATCCTGCGAGGTTTGCCGGGGACCCATCCTTGAATTAAAGATTAATTGCTGTCAGCAATTGTGCAGAATTGATTAGAAAAGAACTTGCCTTTTTACGAGGGTTTTGTTCTTGCCGAGGAGCCTAAAAGAGAAACGTGCTCATGCCTTGAAATACTGAAATCTATTGGGGGTTGTAATTCTGTAAGTGTTAGTGTTTTGTGGAAGATTAGGGAATGTTTTGCATTTACATAGGCCCCGTGTGCCATTTGGCATTAAAATTTTAAAATGGCAACAAGTTCTCGCTGTGAATCTAGATCGTTGTTCAATAGTTTGCCTCTTTTATAGTTTATATTTATTTGGGACCTGAAATTTAGCTGTGAGACACAGTATCAGGTTAAACTATAGCTATCAGGATACTACATACTTATTTTCAGTTGATATTTTAAGGTATTTGTTATGTAAAATTTTTGTTCATTATTGGGTGAAACAGAAAACGGGTGCTAAGTTTCATCAAATCACTTAAAAATGTGTCCTGTCACAACCATGCCTCAGCAGGACAATTTTCACCCCAGGGTCTCCTGAGGACCCCCATGCAGGCAGGTGGGGCAGGCTCTCTAGTCACTGATGGCCCTGTGGTCAGCATGCGGCCAACGAGGGTTGGCCCAGGAGACCAGCGTGCGGTAGGGTAGCCCGACCGCTGGGAGGAAAGGCTGGGAGGAAAGGCGTTGCTTCTCTTTCTAAAGTCCCTCCGACGAAGCAGCTGAAGTCAGGCGGCCGAAGTCAGCACCCACAGTGACCTAGTGGTCGGGCAGGCCTGACTTTATTACAGCTAGTGTTAGGTGTTCCGCTTCTGGACCCCAGAGGGATTGTTGGGAGTTCTCGAGTTATCCAACATTAACTAGTTCACAGTAAAATAATTTGATTTCGTGTAAATGTATATACATTTTAAGGTGTCTTATAACAAATCTTTTTGGTTTGTGAGTCTTCTGGTTTTTATTAGGCAGTTAATACATTAGTTCTTTTAATTATAAATGTATTATGAATATATTCTGAAATAAGATCATTTTATTTTTCCGTCAGATGCATAACTTCTTGTTAGTTCCAAGATCTTATCATGCCCAGTAGGATTTTTTTCCTGTTGACTAGTCACTGTATAACTGGGGGGTGTGGGGGTTACGTAGTAAAGTGTATTAACTGACAAGAACTCGAGTTTTTAAGAAGATGTTAACCTTTCAGGACCTTAGACTGACTTCTATATCAAACAAAATGGGTAGTTTCTAACTTCAAAAATCAAAGAAAGTTTGGTTTACTTATAAGGACTTCTTGGAGCAAGCAGGTTAATATGACTTTTAGCAAAATGTGTTTTGTTTATTGAGCTCTTAGTGAATTTAACTTCCATTTAGCAGCTTCCGGGTGCCAAGAGCCAAAGACCTTTCAAAGTACTCCACAGTCCCTGCTGCACAGGAGCATTGGGTCCTGGGTGGGAGACCCAGCTGGGGCGAAGCAGAGGCACTCTTCTGGCCAGGGTGTTCTGGGGAGAAGGGGACTGCTGTCCTGGTGCTGGGAGAGAGAGGGCACTGACCACGCTTGGCGCCTGGAGGAGGGAGGGCTGGCACACCCAGAAGGGAAAGTAGCTTGCCCACCTCACACAGCCTTCCTTAAGTGCAGTCCACACTCAGACTGGTTGTTTTGCTCTGTTTTGCTTGGAATCTTTTTTTTTTTTTTTTAACTCATTTTAAATCAGAAATAGTGACTGTTTATAGGACACTTAGCAGCGATAAGATTACAGTAGGGTTTTTCCCATTTCCTCATCGTCTGTTGGGTTCAGTGGCCTTTTTTTGCATGGCAGTATTGTACCAGGGTTCATTTCTTACTGGTTTCACAAATACTGTATTTGTGGAGCAGTACTATGTGCTGGGCAGGATCCTAACTTGGAATGAGAACAAGAGAACAAGCATGTGATCCCCCCACCGGGAGTTTACAGCCCCTGAGACTGGGGCTGGGGCTGGGGAGGGTCCAGTAAGCAAAGAGGAAAGCACAGTCACTCAACTGATTTTGAGACCAGTTGGTCTGATTACTGTACCAAGTAGTGAAGGGCTTGTGATTAATGTGGTGATTTTTCATATCCCAAAAAGTTAAGGCGTGAAAGGGATCTATTTTAAGTTAGTGCGGACCTTCCTGTGTGTGGGAGAGTAGCTTAGGACCTGGTGGCTGGTGATTTAAAACCTCATTTCCAGCTCCGTCCGAGTACCGGCTGCGTGCTGGGCATGTTCTCTGTGGTCTGCTGCCTGAACCACTGGCCACCTGTGACTGCTGGTTGAGCACACAGCTAAGAAACTGAATTTTTAATTTTAGTTATTTTAAATTTAAAGGAACAGTGTGTTTAGTGGCTACTGTACTGGATAACACAGAATTGGCAAACTTTTGGAAAAGGGCTGGATTGTAAATATTTTTGGCTCTGTGAGCCAAAGCAGCCATTGACAGTAAATGGACAGGCATATCTGTGGTCCAGTAAAGTTCTATTTACAAAAACAGGTAAAGCTGGATTTGGCCCATGCGCCATGGGCTACTGGCCCTGTTCTAGGCCAATCCTTGGATCTTTAAGCCACTTCTTGAAGGCTCGAAGCACCGCCTCGCCGCCCTCCTGGTTGGTGGCCAGGCCTGCTCTGCCCTGGACTCACCCCTGCCTCTTTGGGAGGCTGGTTTAAGGCAGGGACAGCTGCACCAGAAAGGTGGTGACAGGCCAGAGAGGCTCTGTGCAGCCTGGAACCTCTCCAGGTACCTGCTCTCACCTCACCCTCAATGCTCTGTTGGTGAGTTTGAAGCCTAGTGAGGAGCCAAAATACAAACCATTCTTTTTATGGAAGCCTGTGTCCTCTGGATGTGGGGGTCTGATAATGAGCACCTCGTTTCCGCAGTACTTGTTGGATCGTTGCTGGTCGGGCTTCACCTTCCCAGTAAAAATTTAGAGGAAAGCACGCAGGAAGCACGAGAAGAGGTTGACCCGGCTCTGGTCCCCCTGCGTCTGCGGCCTTCCCCAGCACTGGCGCTAAGGGACACCGTGCTCCCAGAGCTCGGGTGCATCTGTGGGCCTGGAACCAGGGAGGGTCAGTGCTCAGATGGTGACCCACAGCAAAAGGCCCCGCAAAGGATGACGTCTTTCTGAATAGTGCGTCCACTCAGTTCACCGTGCCTGCGCACTGCACAGATGTCTACCTGTTGGGACTGCAGCTCCCTCAGAGGTGACTTCAGAAGTGCACTCACATTCACAGCAGTGATCCTGTGTGTGAAAGTGTGTCCTTTGTGTTCCTGGCAGTGCGCAAGGTAACCAGAGTAACAGCCCTGGGGAGCGGGGGTATGAGGTCTACACTAATTTTTCTTAATTAGTCCTGCCCTTAAAGTCAGGCTGAGGTCTGCTCCTGAGCTTTGCCTCACAGCACAAGCCGCCTCTAGAGTTTGGCCTGAGATGTGTTAATTACATAGAAAACAGAGGAAAGGGAGGAGGCAAGGTCATCAGTCAAGGAAAGGGGTGTGAGACAGTGGTTTGGGGGGTACCGCTACTTCTGCTACTTCTGGTCAGAAATGTCAAGCTAATTGTTCTCTGTTAATCATAGAGCACTTGGCCAAGCTCAAAGAACTTTGTGACCACTAATTCTTGGGCTTCTCCCAGCACTCCTGCCTGCAGGGTGAGCAGGGCAAGGCTAGGGTGTCTCCTCCAAAGGCCATCCAGCCTGGAGGCTTAGGCCAGGCTGCACCCCAGAGCTCTGCTGGTGAATGTCCCAGAGGGAGAGCAGCACGATGGAGCACTCTTCTGTGTGCGGGCCAGGGCTTGGTCCTTCTGTCCTTGCTCTCATTCAGAGCCTGCCCAGCGCTGTGAGGCTTCACTCTTTCCACCACTGTCTAGAAGAAACAGGGGAGCCCTTGCTCAGGGCCACACAGTCGTGAGCCTCAGGCAGCATAGCACAGCCGCACCTTCTGAGCCTGGAGAGGCCCTGCTGAGAACCCCGCATCCTGGGTCCTCTTGCTTCTCCCAGCTGTCTGTGCTGTGGACTGTGCAAGGGAAGTGGAGCCCGCACTCGCTGCCTCTGAGCAGGAGCTTGCTGGGGGTTTCCACATGGGCGTTCCGGTGCTGGAGGAGATTATCTTCCCAGGTCCCACCTCACTGTCAGGCCTGCCAGGCCTTACTTGAGTTTTAGTTTGGCTTAGTTTTCTTATCTCCACAAAATCAGGCAGATCCCGAGGAGTCACTGGAGCTCCAGATCTCTCGACGTATCTAGAGAGCATCAGGCAGTGCTGGAGTGAAAAGAAAGCCACTTCACTCCTTTCTTTTCATATTGGAAAGACATTGGCTAAACTGCACAAGGACACCCTATTATAGAAAATAAAGGTCTGGTTTTAGTTAGGCCCTGAACTGTTTATAAATCAAAAGCCCTTCTAGTTAAAAACAGACACTAAAAAGATATAGCAGTAAATACAATGAGTAAATCTATTCCAAACACAAAACTGACCCTATAGACAATACCTGGGGGCAGTGGGAGAAAGGGGAGCTCTGAGTGACTCTGGATGGCGCAGGATTATTGTTGGTTTTCCAGGTGAGGGGTGGTGACATGGCTTTGTAGGAGACCATCGTCCATGCAGGCAATACAGACTGATGTAGTCTTAAGTGCTGTGACCCCGGCTCTGCCGCTTACTCGAATGGTAGTAAGAAAATTAACTTCAGAGCAAATGTGCTATGCACAGGTAGCTGTTGCCCCTAGGGAAGGAGCTATTCCAGGATCCATTCAGCTTTACATGCATCCGAACATTTTCGTATCTAAGGGAAATGTCTTTCAAAAGGTTCCGGTTTAGAAAAAATATGCAATGTGCATGTAATCACTTAGAACTTGTTTATTGAGCAATGAGAAGCAGTCACATATGTTGATTTTGCCCCCTGGTCACTGACTCACGGTAGCTAAAGAGCTAGCCACACTGCCTTACTGAGTGGTGTTTGGGCCACAGACGCTGATGCTTGATGGCTCTTGGATTGGTCTTTTGGGAAACCTGCCTGGAAGGCACACTGGGAGATACAACCAAGGCTTCCTCCTAACTTGAGAGGTAGTGCTGGGTGGTCAAGGGTGAGGGGCTGGTGGGAGTCTCACGCCAGGACCAAGTGCCCATCTGCCCCAGCTAGCTGAACCTTGTGGGCTCACGAGGCCCTCTGTGCTGGAAGTGGAATTTGGGGAGGAGGTGACAGTACCCCACCTCTCAGGGTATCGTGGGGTTAATGAGTGAAGGCTTGAAATGGCAGCTGGAAAGTTAACAAGACTCGCCATGGGAGAAGTCTTTTTTGGGTCATATGGGGTCCTTCAGAGCCTAGCAGCTTAACCACAATCTGGTTATATTTTCTACAGCTCTCTTACCTATATTTGTTAATCTTGTTTTTTGTTTTGTTTTTGTTTTTGTTTTTGTTTGAGACAAGGTCTTGCTATGCAGTTCAGGCCAGCCTTGAGCTCACTTTGCAGCCCAGGCTGGTCTCAAACTTGCATTGATCCTCCTGCCTCAGCCTCCCAGTGCTGGGATTACAGGTGTGCGCCACCACGCCCGGCTATGTATTTGTTAATCATGGAACTCGTCCATCCCTCCTACCCCTCTCTTTTCCCAAGCCTTTCATAGCTTGCAGTCTGCTTGGCATGGCGCCTCGTGGGAGCAGTGAGTGTGTCAGCGCTCTAGCCTGTGCCTGAAGTACCTGCCCAGCTGATGCAGTGCCACCTCCATGGCTGTCGTCCTGGTGCTCAAGGTCCCTGTTCTGCCTCTGTCGGTTCTGTCAAGTCCAGAGTAAAATAAGAATTTGGCCCTTGGGTTTTTAACTCCCATGGAAGAGTTTACACGTAACAGTCACGAGAAGTTCAGTGTTTAACAGTTAGCGACGTCCTTTGTGCTCATCTCAGTAGCGCGACTTCACCTGCCGTTCCCCCCCCCGCTGTCTCAGTGCTTTCCTCGCTGGGCTTCCGGAGGTCCCACGTCTTATCATCGGATCCACCAGATTAGATTGCACTGGATTCCTCTTTGGTGTTGATTTTATTTTGGTTTGAAAGGGGTCTTACTGTGTGGCCCACACCTGCCTCAAACTCCTGCCTCAGCCTCCAGAGTAGCTAGGGCTGTATACATACACACCACCACACCTGACTAGTGGTGAACTTTTAAAATCAGCTAATAGCTAAAAAAGTGAGTTCTTAGCTATAATCTTGAACTTTTATTGTTTTTAATACTGTATTTTTAATAGAATTGGAGCTATAAATACTTTTTGATTAGATGTTTTTAGCCTGTTCTTTGTCGTTATTGATGTATAACAACTTTTTAATCAGTTGGATTTTTGTCAGCTGATTTTGTTACTCATAAGTGAAGTATTGTGATATTTTAATTTATAGAATTGTAAGTAATGTTCTAGAGAACAAACCTAATTCTTCCTAAATTACTGGTGTTTCATTCTTAGGTGAGGGGCTTCCAGGAAGAGGTGAGGGGGTGTGTGTGTGTGTGTGTGTGTGTGTGTGTGTGTGTGTGTGTGGTGGCAGTTTCCAGGCACGAGCTTTTCCAGCCTGGGTAGCAGGCCAGGTGGATCTGGGTGTGCCTGTGACCACATTCTCCAAGCTCAGAGGCCGAGGAGGTGCCCAGGGTCTGTGTGCAGAGCGGCCCTGCCCAGGCAGCAGGCTGGCACAGCAGTCACACTGCTACAATCAGGAGACCTGCACGGCCACACTGTCTTCACGCAGCTACCAAGATGCCCACTGCCCTGTTCTCTGTGTAGTGTGGTGTCCAGCTGGCGCTGCCGCGCGATCTGCCACACACACCAGTCTGACCTCAGGATGTCCTTGATGAAGCATGCTGTTAGCACTTGCATTACAGTCAGCACTCTGTGTACCTGTTTAACTCTGTGTGATGAGGGAATGGTTCACGCAGAGCCCTTCAGATGGGGTCTGTCTGTGGTCGTGGAACTGTGAGCTGAGTAGACAGGAACTTTCTCAAGGAGTGAAAAAAGAAAAGGCAGATAGCTGGTTAGTAAGGGTTGACTATTTGGCAAATATTTTCTGGAAAAAATCTATGAAGTGAGCTGATCAATTCAACTGTAATACTTATTTTTTTCCCCATGATAAAGTCCAAGCTTTCAAGCAAAATTTAAATTTTGGGAGATTTGTATCTGTCAGTGTGAGCGTGACAGTTGCCGCTGCTAAAGGAGCTCCTGCTGGAGTTGATGTGATGGTGAGAAGCAGGGTTTCTCGAATACAGGGGAGGTTGCACACCTCAGCACCCTGCGTGTCCCAGTGAGCAGTCAGTGATGCACCGCAAAGCACGCAGGCCCCAGGTGGAAGGGCTATGCACACCGCTGGGTGTCACTGGGACCACAAAGTCACCAACGTGGTTTTAGGTTCCACATCACAGCTGGTCTCTGAGACGCTGTCATTGTCCACTTTTAGTGTACGATGAAAGAACATTCAAAATGTTTGAAAGGCATTGAAGTTACCAGCTTTTTCAACAAACAGGTCTCTTAAGAGCCTGTGTTGTTGTAGTTTATTTTTCACACATACTTCTAAAAAACTATGCCTCGCAGCAAATGGGATAAGGAATATAGATGTGCAGACCTGTCTTTTAAGGCAGACATTAAAGACATATACAAAGATGTAAAACTGTCATTTTTCCTTTTAAAAGTTTTCATAAAGGTGTTACTTAACATAAAGCAAAAGCATTGCTTTTATGAGTTACTAAATCCGATATTTCTAAAACTTCTCTCACATGGCCAGTGTAAGGGGATATAACCCAGCAATTCAAAGCTTTTTCTGCTCCTCATACTTGGAAGAATATAAACACCACGAAAGGCCCTTGACCTAGGAAGTCTTGGCATAGGCTGAAAGCGGCCCTGACCCAGTGTTTACTAAGCCTTGATGCTTTCTCTCTTCCTCCTCAACACAAAACAAAAGCAAAAATAAATAAAAATCCCATGGTGAGCTTTTCTGTGCATTTGCTGTAAACTTCCCAAGTAGATTGCCCTCTGCAAGAGGGAGGGAGTGTGACATTGCCGCCCGCCTGCAGCTGACTGTCCTCAGGGCTGTGAGCAGCGCTCACCTCCCACGGGGTGCACTCACCGTACCCCCCACACTGCACAGGTGTCAGAAATGCCTGGGCTAGAGCGAGACTGCACCCTGCTAACTTCAGAGCAGAGGCCTCTTTGCCTCATCGGGCTTCTGGAAATGTGGATTTTTACTTCTCACTTCTTCAGACCTGGTTCTGAGAAGCATTCATCTTGAGAGAACATGGATGACCCTTTTGAAAATATCATACTAGATGCTGAAAAGATTGAGATCTTACTCACCGTGTGATCCTCCCAACACACACATCATTTCCTTAGTTACTAGATCCAGTCACTCGGAAATCCACCTCTTCAGAGCCCAGCTTAGGTCTGGCAGTGCCCTTACTAGGGTTTGTGATTTCGGTAGCCATGCCTTCTGAATCTCCAGGCGTGTTCTGTTCTGACATGTATTTGAAGCCAGGTGTCGAGGCACACTCCTGTAATCCCAGAACTCAGGAGGCAGAGCCAAGAGAATTGCCTTGAGTTGGAGGCCACCCTGGCTTACATAGTTCAAGGTCAGCCTGAACTGCAAAGCAAGACCCTATCCCCTGGCTCCCTCATGGAAGCATTAGGTTATCGTGCTTATTTTCAAGAAAATTGAAAGAAAGAAGCTTAGACTAAATTCCAGGCTAATGTCCCTAAAGACAGGAAACACACAATAAGAACAAGAAACCCTCCTTTTATTTCATCCTTAATTAAGAGAAATGGCCTGCCCGGAGAAAGGTTGAGTGGTTGTCCAACAGACAGACTGTTTCAAAAACTAACAAATCCAGATAGTTTTTCTTTATAAAAATTTCACAAATAGCATTATGCTAAAAAGCATCTTTATTACTCTTTAACAATGGTTAACTAAATTTATAAATTAAAGCTAAATTTATATTCTGAGTTTGTTTTGTTTTTCCATTTAGCTTCCTGTCTTCTATACGTCCTCTCCTTAAGAACCCCAGTCCTAGGGGGCTGGGGATGTAGCTCAGCGGCATAAGCGCCTGCCTTGGAAGCAGGCAGTCGTGAGTTCGATCCCTGGTACCAATAAAAAGGAAAAAGACCAAAAAAAAAAAGAACCCCAGTCCTGGGACTGGGGATTAAGCTCTGCGGCAGAAGCCCCTGTCCTGCAAGTGCATGGGCGAGGTCATGAGTTAGATCCTTGTACCAATTTTTAAAAAAAAGATGCCATCTTATTTTATCTTGTTTACTTTCCACTGAGACCATCTCCTCTGGAAATGAAGTGTTGAAACTGACCTTCTATAAGTCAGCCAAAGTTTTTGGAGGGTTGACTTTTCTTATTCAAATACTGCAGTGTTGATGGATCTGAATCTGTATTTTTTTTACTTGAGTTTTGTGCATCATTTGCCAGTTTTCAAAATATTAATGTTGAATTTTTGTATTTCATTTATCATTGTCCAATTAAATGAGCACAGCTTGTCCTGCCTACCTAGATTGGATATACACCTTTTGGAAGTAGCATGCATATATGTGCACACATGTGTTTATGTAAAGCTGAATGTCAGCTGCCAGAACCCACTTCAGTCCTACAGCTTTATTTGGAATAGCACATGGGCTTTTGCTTATTAGCTTTTTCACCCTTTGTCTTTAGCAAAAAGAGGAGAACCATTAAGTTAAAAGTAATCTAAGCTTAAGCCCCCCAAATAATTTTAAGATGTACACTTTACATTTAAATATTAAATATAAGAAGCATATTCAGTAAAGACCTCTTTGGCAGGAAGCAGGGACTTGTGAGCCCAGTTAATGGCCTTACCTGCGGCATCCATAGTAACTAGACATGCCGCCCTGGTAAATATTTATCCAGTTAGCCCTGCTGGGGAGTCTAGGTAGTTACAGCATCTGCCAGCAGCCTTGGGGCTCTTTGCTATTACCTGGCATTCAAGCATCACCATCCTTCATCTCTTCCAAGATGAAAACTTTAGAAGACCAGTTTACTGGGAGCAATTCAGTGTGCTGTCTGTGGCTACCAAATGAGAACGGATAGGCTGTTATTGTTAATCATTAGCACCCAGGAACCTTTGTAATCTTCAAAGCTTCTTGCAAGTGTTCATTAACCGTCGCCCTCTTTCCTGTGAGGTAGCAAACAGGTATTATTAGCCCCATTTTTACAGTTGTGGAAACCAAAGTGGAGAGGTTCCCCAAGTCGCCTGAGGTCCCAGAAGAGTTGGTGACAGAGACCGGATGAGCACTTGGGTTTCTGACTCAGTTCTGGGCTCACCCCGCTCTGAATGTGCATGGGAAGCTGCTAGTGCAGGGCCTTTATCACCAGATCTCCGTGCAGAGCTCCTTCTGCTCTGCTCTCACCACAGTGTAGAGTGTAGTGCTGCTGAAACCAGGTTAGCTGCTCTGATGGTGTCAACCAGAAAAACAAGAGATGCAGATTCTGGGTCACGAAGGTAAGGCTCTTCCTGGGGTTTGTGGCCATGGGTGAAATGAACTAACCTCAGCCTTGAATTGTCCACCTGTGCCTTAGTTTGTCCTCAAAGCTCCTGGGACTTGTCTTCTACTTGAGTTAAGAATCTCACCTTCCAGCTGGATGCTAATCATCGATGGTGAGACTATTTCAGTGATGAATGTGAACTGATTGCTGGTAGAGGTGTAGGGAGTCATTCTTAGAATTCGGTACAAAATTTGATATATTTTTCTCTTGGCAGTGATCCATGTGGTTCTGGAGCAGAGCAGAGAGGCACCCTTTCTTAGAAACTGGCTCTGTTTTAGTTTAGCCATTGCTCTTAAGGGGAAACAATAGGCAGAAATAGTTCTTGCTGTGTACAATGAGACGATGTATGTGTCATGATAAAAAGCGGTGACTTCATGTTCCTTATTGTAATAAAGCCTGCACGCTTCCTTCCTGCTTCCTGTTCAGCGTCATGCTGTGCAGTGCATGGATTTCAGCATTGGCAGTGTGGCCTTCGTTGGGCCAAAGGAGGTTGAAATTCAGATTAAAAATTTGTAAGTAACCAATTGTATTTCAAATGGAAAGAAAACTTTGTGGGATATGCCTAACAGAAAAGAGAACAAAGTTGAATTTTTTCTTTGCCTGTGACCACCTAAAGCTTTAGATCATCCATTAGATGAGTGTTTGGAAGTCACTAGCATGGCTGCTGTGTGCTCGAATCGGTTGTATAACAGGTACCACGGTTGCTTGTCTGTGACAGCATCTAGGGCGCGTAGGAGAGGGCAGCCCTCCCAAAAGTGTGCTTAGCTGAAGTTTGAGAAACTAATTGGTGGCTCCAGAGTACAGTTGGGGGAGATGCAGGGATTCAGTGTACTAGGGCCATGCAGCAAGAGACATCCTGGCAAAGTTGGCATCAAGTGAGATTCACTCTTTATGACCTGATAAAAGGAGAGCAGCAGAGAGCTGTTAGTGGAGGCAAGGGGCAGGGCAGGAGTACAGCACGCCCCTTTGTCACTGCGAAGGTTAGAGGCGAACGGGACAGGCAAGAATGCGTTTGTTCTGTGTGGTTCCCTGGTGGGTTGCGTGCTGTGGAAGAAACTGAAGGTGATACCTTTGGTTGAGGGTGGGGCGAAGTTGGAGGATTTGCACTCTTTTTGTGCATGTATTTGTGTACGCATGTTTGAACTGTAGGTAAAAAGCTAAGTGAAGGCATAAGGTGAGAACTGGACTCGTGTGTGCGGGGCCCTGGGTATAATCCCCAGTACCACAGTAAAGGGAAAAGAAGGTATAACATGAAAAGCAGGGGACATGTATTGATGATTAAATCAAAGCCTTGCCATCTTTCTGGTCTCTGAAAGTAATGCTATGGTTTTAAAAATTAACTAACACATAGTGTGCAAGGCCACAGTCATGGATTCAGATTTGCCACTCAGCCAGAAGTTCACTTGCCTCGTTCTCATCACAGTGTGTGTATGCTCAGCTCTGGCAGCCTGACTGCGAGCTCACTCTGCTTCATGAACACAGCAGAGCACAGGAGTGCAGGTGACTGCGCAGGTCATTCAGACTGCAGCTCTGGGTTCACCAGCCTGTCTTTTTACCCATTCTGCTGTATTCCAGGCACTGTCACTGTATTCCAGGCCCTCATTATTCTTTAGTGAGTGGAAAGGCTGGCTGTCCACATCACCTCTCCTGAAAGTCAGAGCCTTCCGTGTCTTCTACAGGGAGGGGTCCCCAGGGGTGTCGAGCAGGAAGAGAATTTAAGAAGGAGGCTGGGGGAGGTAGGACCTTGTGACCTTGGTTTTCCTGGTGGTGTGAGAGAGGAGACCTCAGCTGAAAACCAGGTAGACAAGTAAATGAGGCCCTTGAAGAATGACAAGGGAAATGACCAGAGGTGGGGAGTGCAGAGGCCCCACACGTGGCTATCACTGCTTTCCACCACAAAGGCCTGACCTCCTGGCCGCCGTCCCTTACCATGTAATGCTCTGCAAATATTTTTTGTTTACATTCAGGTCATTGATCAGTTTCGATTTAGTTCTCAGGCATGAGATGAGGGTCCAGCTTCACTGCATTGGATAATCTGTTTTTCCGGCACCATTTATTGCGAAGACTGTTCTCTAGCCCCTTGAATGGACCTGGCATGCTGGTTAAGGATCAGTGGACCATAACGAGAGGGTCTCTTTCTCAGTCCTAGTTCTTTGGCCTTCTACCTGTCGTTAGATCTGTACCATACTGCCTTAATTCTGTAGCTTTGCTTTAAGCTTTAAAATCAAGCAATCTGAGCCTTTCAACTTTGTTCTTTTTCTAAGACTGTTTGGTCTTTTGAAACCCTTGCACTTCCGTGTGCATCTGAGGATCAGCTTGTCAGTGCTCAGACTTCCTTCTATTCCAGAGCCCTCCCTGGGCCAGCTCAGGTCAGTGAGGGTAGGGCTGCCCACCTTGCCTGAAAGCACGTCTGCCGCCACTGAGGGGGAGCCCACTGCTTCAGATGGCCCCCCAGGAGCCCCCAGATGTTTCCATTTCTGGAGCTTAAAAGTCTTTTATCATAGAAAGCAATGTGGCTTTAATATTGTTTTGTAATTTTTAGTTTAGTATAAAATGTATAAAATGTTAGTTTAGTATAAAATGATATTTAATATCATTTACATGGGAAACTGATATTCCAGGAAGCATAGCATCTAATTTGCAGCTTGGAGCCCTCTGAGTGAGTGTATCTGTTGTGAAAAGCCCTCAAGGAACCCCACCTGCAGATCCTAGGCCGAGGGTTGTTTCACGGTGCTAGTTCCTCCTGTAGAGTGCCATCCTTTTCTGTGGATCTGGAGACAGACTTGAGTCTCATCGGTCTGAAGCTTGCAGGATGAAATCTGCTTTGTTTCCTGTTACCTTTTGGGGGAACTGAGGTCTTGACCAGGGGACCCAGCCACTTAGTTTACCTGGTGCAGCACCAGTGCTGCGCAGGTAGGACTGTCCCTGTCTAAGGCAGAAGCAGGAGCTAAATTTATTCAGTGTATAAGGCTTTTATTCTATACGGCCTTTTCTATATTAAAATGTCCTTTCTGTTTTTTTAAAGACTCTTGTCAGGCATGAAGCCAGTGTCGGTCTGAGGGTCCTTGTGAAAGCAGAACTCCAGAGTGTTGTTTTAGCCCACAGACCCCAGATTTGCCCTTGGGTTGCATTTGGAGTTACCATGTGATGTTTCAAATGATTTACAGTGTGTCACTTTTACAAGTCTTTCTCCACTCTTTGTGTGTGAAACGCCCAGGTTAGGCAGCTCCGTGGGGCTGGCCAGGCAACTGTGGACAGTGATGGTTTTGGGCTATGGTGCTTCTCCTGGAGTGGTGGGAAACTTCTAAAACCAGACAAGGTGGGGGTGATCGTGCGCACAACACTGCAAATGCCCTAAACGCCCCAACTGACGCACTTGAAAATGATTATTGTAGATTATGTGAATTTCACCTCTGTTTTTGAGAAAAGCCCATTTTGTTCAGTGAGGTAACAGGGGACTGGAAGGTGAGGGGCAGTGAGTCGCTCTGATGCTGTCTGAATCTGGGGGTGTGTGAGTGTGTGCTCCCACACAGATACGTGTGCCGCGACCTGTGTGCCAGTGCTGGGCTTCTCTGGTTTAGTCCCAGGAAGCTGCTTGGGTGGACAGATGCCCTGCTCTGGGCAGGAGAAGACTAACCTGGTGCTGAGACCCATGCCGGTGTTCTTCATTTCCTTCAGAAACAGTGTTTTACAGCCTTTTACAGCCTTCCACCCTGAGGGTCTGACATTGTGCCTCCATCAGCCAGAACGTGAGTGAGCCCCATCCCTCGGTCTGTCCCGTCCACCTTCCCTGGTGCTTGATGGAGCTCTGGCCGGCAGCACTGAAGGCAGCCCTCAGCGCCCACCTTCAGCCTTAAAGCAGGAGTGTAGAACTTGCTACTCCCCAAGAAAGAAAGGAAAGGGGAAAAGCTTGTAAACACATGTTACTTTCATATAGGAGTCCTCATGATGAGTGTCCAGTGGAACGTATTTCTTACGCTTTTTCTGTCCCTCCTGCTTCCACAGTTTCCACAGGGGGTGAGAAGACCAACAGTACTTCCCATGAAAGAGTGAAGATAAGTTCCCCATCAGGATGGCCTTTGGAGCACGCCTGAGCTCTCTGCAACTGGACATGGGATGGGGGCCAGAGGGAGCCCTGGCAGGGAACAGGGCATGGGCTGTGAGGAGTGGCGGGGAGGCCCAGGGTTTGATGGGGGTGATGTGTGCCATGTTGGGGCTTTACCATAAGTGTTCTCACAGGCAGATGTTTCTGGCTACCTGCCATACACTGGCTGGACGTTACAAGTGAATACCGTGTACAAGCGACAGTGATGCCATGTGGTGGCACATGCCAGAGCGGGAGATGCTCCGGAATGCTCAGGGAGCCCCAAGGGGGAGCGGTCACCAACCTGTGGGGGGAGACATGTGTGGGTTTGGTTGTGTTCATACTGTTGTCTCTGTTCTACTGCAAATGAAATACAAGTCCTCTTGACCGATGTATCTGTGTTGGAACTGTGATGTGTTGCTGTTGACGTCTTGAGGGTATTGAACACGCTTGCATTTATGTGGGATGTTATGTTGCTTTTTATTGGCTACTTCCAGAAAAGAATTTGATCTGGCTGTATCTACTAGAATGTCTGCAAAGGAGAAAAACAACAAAATTTCCTTACAAGCCAGTTCTCTGCACTTTTTTTTTTTCTGGAGGTCAAAGCCAGAGCCTCACACAAGCAAGCACTTAACCACTGAGCAACAATCCCAGCCCCCAATCCAACTTTTGAATGAAGTTTATTCAACAGTTTCAGGGAAAAAAATTATATACCACTAGTGGGGCAATGGGGCATGTGATCGTTCAAATGGTTGGTGGTGCTGTACCCATCGCAGAGGCAGTGTTCCCATCTGGTTTGTGAGATGCACACCCGTCAGGTGGTGCTGTGTGCACTGCCCAGTTTAATCTGTTCTTTGAGCAGCAGTCTTTTTTTTTTTTTTTGGTACCAGGGATTGAACTTACGACCTTGCACTTGCCGGGCAAGCACTTGTGCCGCTGAGCTAAATCCCCAGGCCTGAGCAGCAGTCTTATGTAGACTTCAAGGCAAAACCAGAGACTGGCAGATCTCAGCAAAGGCTGAGAGGAAGCAGTTGGTGTGTCTGTCTGTGCAGGGAGAAGAGAGCATAGCCCGAGAGGTTAAAGTGACTTCCTTGTCCTCACTCAGGGTAAGAGGTAGAGACTTCAGACTCTGCCCTTGCTGGTAGTGAGCACTGACAGATGCCTGGGAATGAGGCAAGACAGAGGCCTTCTTATTTTGTCCTTTGCTCTGCCCCATGGGTAGCCCAGGATTCCTCCAAGTGTGGTCAGCACACAACACCACTGGTGGCATAAGAGGGGATTTAAAGTGATTCAGAGTTAAACATTATTTCATTTTTAGTAATTATATAATTACATATTGGCAAATGTGAAATTATATAATTAGCAAGTCAAATGATTTCTGCTGCTTAGGACACGGCATAGGAAAGAGTGTGTCCACTGGAAGAAAAACCCCAAGAGGATAGTGGTGTGACCACACAAAAAGGTTCTTCCCGTCAGCCCCAAGCTGCAGAGACTCCGTACCTTGCGGGGAAGGGGAAAACATGGTTAGGGCAACAACAGCGGAAACCCCCCTCGTCAGGGGCCCCCAGGTCAGCCTGAGCTGCACAGCTGGGCCCGGCTTCCTGGCTCCCCTCCCACCTCACCTGTCCTCTCCTGCACCCAGCCTGCACTGGGCATGGCCTGTCTCAGCCTCCTGTCACCTTGCACCTTACCAGGTATGTGGCATGGAGCAAGTCACCTGACCTGCAGCGTGGGAACGGTAGCTCTGCTTCCCACACAGGAGCTGGGTGTTCCTTGAAACCGACATGTGCGCTCTTGGGCCAGGGCCCAGCACACATTAACTCAGCTGTGTTGGCACTGGCAGTGACCGGACTGCCTGCTCTGCCCGTGTTCAGGAGGACATCTTTGGTTTGGCCTGACCGTGGCCTTCAGCTGATGTTATTTTATCTCATGGAGGCTGCTTGGGAGCGGGGTCCAGGCGGCAGCCTGGGTCTGTCCCTGTGGCTGACTTGGGGTGCCAGGTGCCAGGCGCTGCTGGTAACTCCCATGCTGCGTTTCCATGAAGTATGTGAGGAAGTGCAGCTTCTCAGGCTTCCTGGTGAGAGGGTTCTGGGCAGTGCCTCTGACCCAATCCCAGGCTTTCACAAGGCAGGGCCCCGTGCTAAGATTCCTGACTCTAAGGTTTGCCAGGCCTGTGAAAGGGCTGTAGAACTCCCGCGGTGCTGGAGTCAGCTGAGTGGTGGGTGCTTCTCCAGAAGCTGCCAGCCTGGTAAACCGTGCTCTGATTTCGTCTGTGGCACTTGGTAGTTCCTGAGGGCCCATGCTCAGCTTGGCCCAGAAGATGCCTCACTCGGGCTCCTTCTGAGAGGATGCAGTGCAGAGGGGCTGGGGCGCCTGTCTTTAGATTCCGTCACCCATGTGGTGGCCAGGTCAAATGAGTGTCCCAGAACGGTCTTCTCTCAGGGGTTGTGAGAGGATTGGGGACCACAGAGTTTAAATACATTGTCCCAAATGCCAGAGTCTCACACAGCCAAGCACTTTGCTTCCCTGCCATCTCCATTGAGTCAGGCATTTTAAGTGGTTTGACCTCTGCTTGCCCAAGTACAGCCCGGGCAGGGCTTCGAGTCTCCTGAGAGTCACAGCAGGCTGCTGGGTGGCGCCCCTGCCTGCATGAAGCCTCGTGTGGCACCGTTGCTAGAATCAGTGTGTGGCAGAAGTGGGCTCTCATACCTGGAGGGAAAGAGTGACTCGGAACACCCCCTGGGGACAGCGTGTACCCATGCCACAGAGTTCCCACCAGCCACCAGCGTGCTTGCCTCGTGTGAGCAGCTGCTCCGACAGAAAAGCTCTGGAGAAAATCTGCTCCCAGACTGTGTGGCATGCGAGGGCTCAGAGGCTGTCACAGTCCTGGTGCTGAGTCTCTCAGCATTATGCTGCCCCACGTGTGCGCTTCACGCCCCAGGGCTGCTGGTTGCTGGGGTGTCTGTGCTGAGGGCTGGTCTGTCAGACACTAATTTAGTTGTATTGGGAGCAGACTAGGGTGGAGAAGTGAGTGTGAGTGCTGGGAAGCCCGAGTCCCCCACTCCAAGAGACCTGTCCCAAGATATCTTGTCCCCAGGTTCGTGGGCTCACCCGTAGTGCCGGGCATTGTGGGCTGGGATGATAGGGCTTCGGGGCCATCGAGGTGCCTGAGGACCCTTTCCTGCCAGGTGCCTGGAGAAGTAGCCTTTGGGGACTGTGTTTAGTTTGTGTCCTCAGTAGGAGTGTGACCTGGTACTGGGGAGCTTAGGGGCTCTGATACTAGCCCTGCTGGCTGCCTGACCACCCAGCACTGGAGGCTGGACAGGCAGCTGTTCCTGACTGGGGAAGCGTGGGTCACGCAGATGGGACAGTGAGGGAGGGAGACTGGAGACTCACAGGGGCAGGGGTCAGTGAGCTGGGGTGAGGGATGCCTGAGGTGCAGACATGGCCAGGAGCTGGCCGGGTGTTCCACCAAGGAACTGGCCCGCAGGTGACTCCTCGAGGGGGACATAGCTCACCGTTGGCTGAGTACGATAGAGAGCAGAGGGAGAGCTGTTCATCTGTGTGTTGTTTGGTGGCCCTGTTAGTAAGGTAGAGCTGCAGGACAGGCTACTCCCAGACGGGTGCCACTCTCGGGGACCTGCTTTCTTCCCACCTGGGCCTCGGGCTGGTGGAGAGGTTGGCCCGTGTCCACACCAGACTGTGTGGGAAACCACTGGCCTTGAGGTAGATGTTTCCCAAGGTGTCAGAGGTCATTTTTTGTGAAGCCCTAAAGGCTCCTGGAAGACACAGCTTTCATGCCTGGCCAGCACCTAGGAAGGGCGCCCAGCCAGCTCATGGGGCAGTAGAGAGGCCAGCAGCTACCATAGGGTCTCTGAGAGGCTCCGAAGCCACCCTCCCTGGGCATAGGCACCATTCTGTCCCATCTGAGCCAGGTCACCTCATCATCCATGGATCCCTGTCCTCAGGTGTGTAATGAAGAAAATAATATTATGAGGATTCATGGACCTAGAAAAGTGTCAAGAATGTTTAGCACATAATAAGAAATGTAGACTTTGAAATGCTTGATGAACTTTCATCTGTAAAGCTGAGCAGGGCTTCACCGGGCTGTAGATTGAGTGCCAGGGAAGTGGAAGTGCCCCAGCCTCCAGCTGAGCCACCATAGGGAAGTGGAGCAAGAAGCCAGGGCCGGCAGCACCCAGGCAGGAGCAGGAACCCAGGCTGCCCGCTCCAGCCTGTCCAGTAGTGAGCACCTGTACGCAGCTGCAGATAGTTTCTGTGGTATACTCAGTCATTGTTAAAAATCGAGTTATTCTGCTATTTTAGAAATGTGTGTTTCATTCCAGGGACTCTGTAAATAATTCCTTTTTATTTTTTTGTCTTGGTTTTTGAGATAGGGTCTCACTATGTAGTTCATGCTGGTCCTGAACCAGGCTGAATGTAACCCAGGCTGGCCTTGAACTTGGCAGCAACTCCTCTGCCTCAGCCTTCCAAGTGCTGGAATTACAGGTGTGCTCTACCACACCTGGCCTCTGAAAATAGTTGTGCACAATGCTGTTTAGATTAAATGTCTTTAAATACAGCACTTTAAATGTCTTGGTGCTATGTGCATTTTTCTAGAATTACAGAACTTTAGGATTATTAGTGTAATTTTCTTTTTTTTTATTTTAAAGATAGTAAAATACCACAAAACAAGACAGAACAAAGCCAGTCAAGACAGTGCAGCACAATTAGAACAGAACTTCAGAGCAGGATACCGGGAAAACAGTGATAGCTGCCGTAGTATTTCTTCTTGTCTTCACAGTAGCTGTCCATTCCATCAGGCGTAGCAAAATCAAACCAAACAGCAAACACTATGAAACCAAGCGAAACAGAATAGTGAATAGAGCAGAACACTTAATTAGAACAAGGCAAAACAGAACAATATTGACCTTCAAAGACAAGATGGAAGGAAACCCCCATGTTTGCTGTATTGTATACTGCCATCCTCCCGAGAGACGCTGAGACCACTGGCTGAGGTCAGCATAGCCAACCCAACAATACACGCGGTCAGTCACTAGATGCACCTTAGTTACTATCAATCAGGGTGACCTGGGAACCATCCAGATGCCGGGGGAGAGGGGTTGATTCTCAGCCCACAGCCAGGAGGCTGACGGGAGGTGCTGGCTTTTCTCTCTGCTGGCTTTTCTCTCTCTGGCGCACGTGCGGCTTTTGCTGCTTACCAGGAAGGCTGGCTGGTTGACTTCTTGGTTGGTTCCCCAAGTCCCAGCATGGTGGATTTTTGGGAAATGCTAACTTTTCTCAATTAGGTGTAAATTTTAAAATTATTTTTACCTGCATATAGTTTATTTTGTAATAAACTAAATGTGGTTCTTTTAACTTTAGCTTTATAT